CAGCAGTGTCTGTATTGTTCTAACCAATGCTACTGGGTCTGGGCTAGGCCAGATCACCTCCACAGGCACTGTGCACCCTCACCTCAGCCTCTGATGTGTGCCTCAAGGCCTTTGTCCTTGGTGGTGTGCCCACAGATGCTGGATTAAATCCTGCTGCATTGTTTATTGAGTGCCCTTGAGTGCACTAGTCCTGTGAAAAATAAATAGGCAGTATACCCAGCTGTATGCACGCTGACAGAAGAGGGCTGTTTTCAATTTGCACGAGTTACCTTTGTTTCAAGCTTCTTGTCAAACTTCAAGTTTCTTAGCTTTTGAGTGTTTGATGTAATGCTTTCAACATTCTTCTGGCGGAGATTTTTTACTTTTTATTTTTGGGGAAAAAAGCCCCACCAATATCAAACAGAGAACGTGAGACAAGGCAGTACCTGGGTTCTAGATGAGCCCTGGAAAAGGTCACTGGCAGAGCCTGGCTCTTTGCATCGGTGGTGAGAACAACTTGAACATTTAACTGCACCTGGAAGAAACCACAAGTTGGGCAAGGGTGAGAAGAGGAGGAGGCTTGGCCTGCAGTTGTGGGTTTCACATGCTGACTCAGGGCCTGGGAAACCAGGAGGGGGACTAAAGGTTCCTTGTGATAGACTCCTGAGGAAAAACTGATGTAGATTGGATAAACTGTAAAGCTTTCTTGTTTTGATTTTCATCAGTGTATTAATAAGATGGTGCAAGTTAGATATTTAAATACGCCTTCATTTCTAATATGCTTGTTTATGATTACCTAATAGAGTATTTTATATAACCACCATAGCTTGTAAACTATTTTCTGATCTTTCCTTGAACCACATATCACAGAGGTCTAGCAAGATTCAAAGACATCTGAGAAAGAAGAAACTATTTTTGAGTATTGAGATAACTTTTCTTCAGTTTCCACATGGATCAGTAAGAAGTTTCCTAGTTTCAGTGGCAGTGAAGCAAATGATGGATATTCTGAGTAAGTTTTGTTGTGCAGTGTATGTAGGCAAAGGCAAAACCTGCTAAGGACAGAGGTTGGTCAGTGCTGCTCTCTTAGCTGCGCTGAGAAACACAGGCAGAGTTAAATGCCTGTGTGCTCCTTCCATAAGCGTGTTTGTTACCCTTGCCTTGGTATACTCAGTCTCTTGAAAGTTAGGTTTTTTCTTCCATAGTGCTATTCACAGGTAGCCTTAAAAATTATTTTCTTATTCACTGTTTGTATTTAAATGCCCGCAACCCTTGCAATATTTTCTGTTAAAGTTGATTTTGTTCTGTTCTGCCGTTGTTTCCACCCTACCTTGTTTCCACCTTGTCCTGTGTTTTCTGCATTTCAGAATAATTTTCAGACTGTCCCCAGCCACTCCCTTATGCCTGGGAATAGCAGGAAGACTACAGAGCATGGGGAGACACGAGGTCCCATTTCTCAGAGGAGGGCTGAGGCTATTATTGCTGAGCACTAAAAGCAATTCAGCAAGATGTAGACACTTGGGATAGCCGACTTCAACAGGCATTTTAAAAATTAAACGATGAGCAGCATTTTAGCGCAGAAAGTTTTTATTTTATCTGTGTAGCAGTGCACATGAATGCCATCTTGCCCCATGAGCTAAGGTGAAGGGTCCACAAGGAGGGCTCTGGATGTCTCTGATATGTCACTTGGTGCAGCTCAGCTGAGAAAAAACACAGAAGCTGTATAGCCAATGGAAAACAAGACTATATCTCATTTCTTTAACAGCTAAACAGTTCCCATTGCCACAGCCTCCTCAAGGGTTAAGGTATCTTTGCCCTGCAGTGTTGTTCAGCTCCTGAGCCACAAGGGCAGAGATGGGTGAAAGCTTCATTCCAAGTTTCACTTGGCATCACCTGGGTTACAGCCCTTGAGGCAAATTCTGCCAAACCCTAACAGGGACTTCAAAAACACAACACAGAGCTCTTATCATTTTTTTTTAAGGCGCTACTCTAATTTCCAAGAATCCTGTATCCATTGTGTTTTGGAATCAGCTGTGTTTGTGTAGCTGTTGGCTAACAGGATTTTATAAAAGTGTGCTTCAGCTTCCCATAATGAAAGATCACTTGCAACCTGATACTCTGAGCTACAGCTCACAATTTATACAAGATAAGGCAGCCCTGCCAGCCTGTGTCACATCCTGCCAGTTGGGTTCACAAGAGGTTGAACAGGAACTCTATTTTTTCAAGAACCATGGGCCATGGGGTTTTTTTTAATCAAGTTTCTACAAAAATCAGAAAAATTTGTGTTTGCTGGAATCAATGGTCAGTTTCTTCACATGTGGTAGGGATTGATGGGGGCAGGTGTGAGGTTTTTGAATGCTCAAAATTGATAACAGTACTTCTAAGCTGAAATAACTAATTATATTACACCATTATAAAAGAGGATATCAATCTAGACCAGAGAAAATTCTCTCTGAAATAAATATCCATAATTTTTCTGGCCTAAGTCTAAATGTTAAACATACCTTATTAACTATACTCAATTTTTTTCATGTGAGACAGGATCCACTTGCCTCAAAAGGGTTGGAATTTTTGCCATCTTTTTGCTTGTACTAGGATCTTAATTCCTAAAGAACAGCTTCTATAGCATGTGGGGAGTAACTAATTTTCTGATTTAAAGATCTTACCTTTATGTTGCACTTCTGTAGCAAATTATTATAAATTAAGAAAAAAGGATTAACCTGGATTTTTCCTGGTCTGGTCATTACACATCAGGAATTATTGTTGCACTTTTAAGGAAAAATTTTATAAAAAATTTTTTATATTACCATAGCAGAACACAGAAACAATGTATTTTGTTTCTTCATGCGCCTAACCTCTCAGTCCATTAAAAAAAACCCAAAAACAAAGACCAAACATAAATGGAGAATTCAGATCTTTCACAAAAAAGCAGACTGAAATCCCGGTATCTCAAATAGCATTTGAGGGTATGAATTGATAGAGTTATACACCAAACACACACAAAAAAAGCCATATCAAAATTTTAAAAATAACAATTTCTGGATACTTTTTCCTCTGTGGAACTGCAAAGAATAATCAAGCAACATTACAGATCAAGTGTGAACCATAAAGAGGAAAGCACTGCCTAGCAGTTCTCTGGCTGGATCTGAGGAGCTTTTATTTTTCAGCAGCATGTATGTGTTTAATTTGATTTTTTTTCTCCTTTTTTCAATAATAATGGCTAAAGCAGAAAAGATTGGGCTTTTAGACCTAGCTTAGATACTTTGCTTATTGATATAATAAATACTAGCTTGTGACTGGAAAATAAAAATCTTATTTTTCTTAACTGGAAAAACACTCTGCTGTCTTGAAGTCTAAATCTGTTTAGATATAGATGTTATGTGGTGTTAAAAATATTTGTAAAACATTTTTACTTATTAAGGGTCTTTACAAGAGATCTCTACAGTCATTTTGCAGCCCCAAATGTGGTAGAAATAAATTTGTCATTAACTAAAGGAATAGTTGGAGATATATGCAAATGAAAATGCTTTTTCAGTTCAGAGAGTAAAAGATGATGTTGGTGGGGATTTTTTGGGGGAAGGCTTTGGTGACTTTTTGTGACAGCTAAACACTTTGCTCTAACAAAGAAACTGCAGTTAGACTCAAAAACTGCTAATGAGGTTTGCTTATTAAAATACTAATATTTAAGAGGTAGCCTTAAGTAAATCTTCAACCCTTTCTAGCAGATTTCGTGTAGCTGGTCACATCTAAACCCAGGAAAATGAAAAGGTATAAATTTAGCCTTACCTTTTTTCTCAATGTAACCACAGAGTTAGTGTTGCCATGGCTCTATTCCCTTCCTGTTTGAAACATTTGGCTAAAATGGTACCATGGTCATAGGTCTCAAAACAAGCTGCTTTGGAAAGCAGGTTTGGAAGCAGGGTCACACTTTGAAATCTATCCAGTGTGGTCCTGGGTACACCTTTTCCATTTCAGAATCCCAGTCTGCTCTCTTATCAGTGGAGTGCTGCACGAACCTTGGGGATGAATCATCCCTTGCCAAAATTTTGGCAGGGCTTGCAGTGAATGGGAATGGACCCTACTCCTCTTCCTCATGGGAGCCTTGGGAACATCTGGGACTGCCCAGAGTCAGGCCCAGCTCCCAGGGGTTCCTGCACAGAGCCAAATGTGGGCGAGGAGATTGTGTTTCATGCATGAATTTTAAAGCTGGTGTTCTCTTTTTTTTTCTCCCCTTAGGTAGTGCGTAAAGGATGAGGAGCCCAGGGCTTCCTCACTGCAAGGTAAGAATGTGAGAATTTGCTGCTGTGGTAACTCTGCTCAGCTGCCCAAACAGAGTAGCAGGGAGAATATTCTGTGAAATTTTGCTTCTTGGTCTTACCAGATTTGAGTAGAAGTCTGTCTGTGCTGTTGCTTGGTATATAACATCAGCAGAGATGTTTGTGTTTGAACTGATTGAACTTCCACTCTTAGCTGCCTTCCCAAAATATTATCTGTTTTGGGAAAAGACAGGTGGCCTTCCAACAATGCAGTCCCATGGTTTTCTGAGGGAATGTGCTGTTTTAGCAACAAAATGCAATCTTTGGCATTTTTTACACTCTATCTACTTGAACTGAGTGCAATATTTATCTTTGTGTTTTACAGAGAGTAGCCTCTGAAACTACAAAAATTATTTGTAACTAGTACTGTTGATAAATTTATAAAACAAAATATGGATGCTAATGAATCAGTGAGTAGTTCAATGTGACACAGGCTCTGTGATTGAAAGTGATGTCCAAAACCTGAAACCATAATTGCTCCAGTGAAGTCAATCTCTGTGCATCTCTTTTGAGGCAGTAACTATTAAGTACTTAAAAATGCTTCCAACTATGACACCACAGGCAATTTTAACTTCAGCATTTCCAATTTCCCAAGACAAACCTTGGAATTTTCCTCTTATCTTCACAAAGGTATGGAGACAATCAGCCATAAGAAATGAATTCTGAGGTATTCCCAACCCTCCAAAAGGGAGAAACATATCAGGCACGTCAGTTCAGGCACATTTTAATCATGGTAATCACCTAGCACATTTGGCATTTTCCTAAGGCTAAAAATTATCACAATATGATTCATCTTATATTTTAGGATACAGAGAAATTGCAGAAATTTAATCAACCTGAAACACAGATACTTCATTATCTCCATTCTCTGAGGTGGCTGAAAGGCCATTCTCTAAAATTCACAGATTGTGAGACGGTACATATTGCATGTTTTGTCATTCCAGGTGCCATCAGTGTACATCTCCACACATTTCTCTGTCCCTTTGCCATTGGGCTCGTGCTGGTGCCAGTTGCTATAACTCAGAGGCATGCCATTTAAATACTTAACCTGACCTGAAGTCTCCCCCTTTCTAATGCCCAGGTAAGCATATCGGTTATACTGCTTCACAATGTCCATAATAGCTTTATTCTCCTCCTCATTCTTGGGGGCTGCAAGAGTTCCTCCAACCTCTTCACAGGATTGCAGTGCAGACACAAAGTCAGCTTTCTTCCCATTGCTAGCAAGTATTTTCTCTCCTACTTTTCTTATTTTCCCATTCAAAGCAAGTGCTGAAACATGAAAAGAGTTAGCTTTGTAAATTCTCTATGGCATACCGATGTCAAAGCAAAAAAAAAGAAATCAAGAGATGAAAACTAAAAGTGTTAAAAGGAACAGAGGGAAAAATTGAGCTAAGGAAGAGAAATAAAGATCTTTAATTTTACTCATTCACTAACTGTTCACTAAATATATTTTTCTGCTTGTGACCACTTGTTCTTGTCTCCAAGACAAGGATGTCTCACCAACATCTGCTAAACATCAACTCTGTTATATTTTGTGTACTTTCTAAAGATAATCAGTATGCTTCAGATTTGAGCAAAGGAAACAGTAAAATGATAATTGTTTTCTGAATCCCTTTCAGTATAAAACAATTTACCACCTTTAACAATCTGGTTGCTGATGGATAAAAGTGGTACAAGATATCCACGAATCCATGTGGAAAGTGCAACATCAGGTAGTTGGAATATTTTTAAAAATAAACCCAATTTGAATAAATGTGCATTATGATTGCCAAGAGGAATCTGCTTCTCTCCAGGGAAACAAGAACCCTGATTTCCCCTGATTTGAGTGAGAAAATGGAGTTATGGGGTGTAGCACCTATTCCAAATGCAGTTTCCTTCCTGCAAGTCATGGTTCTGTAACTAACTTTGCCTATTGCACTTAAAATTGATTGTGAGGTGAAAAAGTAACAAGGGGAAGACTTACCAGCCTCAAGTTGGAAAAGCCGGTGCTTCAAATTTGCTAAAGCAAATTTTCTGGCCAGAGAATCAGGCAGACCTATACAGATAAAAACAAAAGTTATACAGTTAAACTAGGCTGTCCTGCTAGGAGTAACTCCCTGGATAAAAGCAATTACTTTCCAGAACTAACTTGCAAATGTAATTTTTAACATCAGCAAGAGTAAAATAAATATTTTCCCAGTATTTTTTCACATTGTTGTTAATATATATTATAGCAAACTAACAAAAACATCCAATCCTCTGAAATGATGGTAATTCTCCTCTGCAGAAAAGTAACTGAAGCTCTACAGGTTGAAGCCTTTTGTTAGCTTATCTATGAAACTGGCTTTGCCAAAGACAGGTTTCATTGGTAATGGCAGGCATGAGGAACACTCTGAGGAGGAAACAGTTTCTATGGCACCGTGTGACCTTCTTTTTAAAGCGCTGGGTGTTTATTTTGCTTTAATGGGAGCCATAAACAGTGGTAGTGGAAGGTTTCTGGATAGTGTGAAATACATCCACAGCACTGCTTGCTAAAGATGGGAACCCACTGTAAAGGTAGATTCTTTTTTTCATACCACAGTCCACAGGTAACAGAGGTCCTATGTGTAGAATAAAGTCACTAAGGTACTCTCATGATAATAATCATGATCATAATTAACAGCTATGGAGAAGCACAAAAGGTTGCTGCATCCCCAGCAACACTGCAGCTCCTACTGCACTTCACAATCCATTAAAATCCCCCCATATTTGACCTAATGCAGGGAGACTGGGAATAATTCTAATAGTGCTTTAGCCTTGCCAGCAGACCTGGAGAAAACATTTCTACATATATATAAAATATTTATATGTTAGAGTGTTGATAACTGGTTCAATTCCTCTCTTCCCCCAGAAGAGAGAGGAGACCCATTTTTTAGAAAAAAATAAACTGCCCATTTCCTCCATTCTCTTTTCCTTCCTGTGCTTAACACATCTACTTCCTTGAGAGCACGTGTCCCTCTGTGTTATCTGTTCATGCAGCCTTTGTGAGGTGGGTCTCTTGCAAAAGAGGAAGTTTGCTTACCTTTCAGACCATTCCTTCCAGGGATACCAGGCAGCCCAGAAATTTCTGGGCATTTACTCAATGCATGGCAAGTCACTAACAAAGCAGCCAGTGCTATGAGGGTGTAGGATGAGTAAGACAACATGATTTCTCAGGCCAGCTGGAAAAAAAAAAATCACACATTTGTCAGGTAATTCTGTAAGAAATTGCAGACATTGGTTTATACAGTGCACACTCTCCCCCCCCCCCCCCCATCACCCCTTCTTGAAATTTACATTATTTCCTTGTTTAAATAAAGTTTATAATTCAGATGTAAAAGATTTATTTTGCAACCATTGTGTAGTTTATACACAAAACTCTTTCTAGACTGATAAACTTGGAGTAGTGAAGATAAATTAGCCCTTTCACAATTTGTTGGATTAATCCTTGAGAAATGATAAGCTCAGAGGTAACTGATCACACTTAAGCCATTAGCTGTCTGCAAGGACTGTAATCACCCGATGATGCATTGGATATTAACCTAAGGCAGATCTGTCACAGTGGGACTGGTCATGTTTGGGAGCTCGTTACAGCACAACACTATCTAAGCACATTTATTTGGCATAAACTGATACTGTTTTACACATGGGCAAAACTTCACAGCTCAATTGACATTCCTATCCTGTTTTGAACAAAATTCCACAAGCTTGAAAATGTCAGTTAATCTTGTAGAAAATAAACTTCTGCTGGTTGGCAAAAGGCTTATTCATCTTATTTTATCCCCACAGATAAAACAACAACTAGGGTTATAATCTGAGTGCTGAGCTATCATGACTAAAAAGCATTTTAAAACCGTACATTGTGGGTTGTTTACAGCAGAGTGAGTGGGTGTGCTGTGCAGCTGTGAAACCTGAAGGACTGTAAGATACTATGGCATAGAAATATCCAGTTATTGACATCTTTCAGTTAAAGTAACAGGAGATATAAAGAAAGGTTCAAGATGCCAGAATGAGTGTCTGTGTCCAATGGGGTGATGCTCATGGGTTGACTCATACAAAACAAATAATATCCATTACTTCACTTTTTTAATTGGCACAAATCAAAGAGGATCCTGTACCTGCTCTCTCTTAAAAACTTCCATCTTTTAAAAAAAATCAGCATTTACACATACTAGGTTCTAAGTCTAGCTCCACTTAAAATTTAAAATAAAAGCTTGGTTGGCTTGAATGCGATAAGATTATTAGCATCTAGGTTCATCAAGCTATAACAAGGTATTTGCTATTACATTTCAAATTATATATGCCAAGCAGAATAAAAATATCATCTAGTGTCATTTATTAAGTGAGGTAAGCTTTTAAAAGAAAAAACATTGTTTAGATCTTCCATATTGACTCTGTTATAGGAGACTTTTGAGGTTATTTTTAATCTGCATCAACAGCAACTGGTTTTTCTAGGGGAATGTCTCATCAACATTAATCTGATGCGACATACCATTGAATATACAAATATTCAATTTTGTCATAAATTTGCAGCATATAGGATCTGTTTAACTAGCAGCAGTATGGTCAAGAATGTGCACTTTAAACAATGCAAAATCAAATCCCCCTGAGAGCAGATGTGCAGTATTAAAGTTTGGTTTGTTGAATTTGGAGCATCTCGAGTTGTTTGCCCTTTACTGAAGGCCAGCAGGGCCCTCTGGAAACACTGGCCAGTGACTTAGAGAGAGCAGGTTATTAAAGACCCTAACAGAAACCTACCTTAGGTGATAGGAATACTTACATCCTTGAGATAAGGAAATGCAATTACAACATGTACCCTTTGCCTGGTGATGATCATTCATGGAATTACATTTGAATGGGCTACTGCATCCAGCTCATAATTGGATTATGATGCAGAGTCAGACCCCTGATCAGTTATATAGCAAAATTGAAAAAACACAGCCCTTCAGTTTTAATCCAGTTTTAATGACCTTCATCAGTCATTACTATCTAGTGTCCTTCAGGCACCTCCTTATCTACCAAAATTGCTAGTATAAGCAAAGCAAAAAAACTACTAATAAAGGGAAATTTAATTTTAGAATGTAAATATGACCACAGCAATCAAAAGGAACAGGTTTGCCTTCTAGCTGAAATTCTTTGTGATTTATTAAAAGGAAATTCAACTTACCCTTCTGCTTCAAAATGAAATGAAAAATCAGTTCACACCAATTCCCTTTATATAGTGTGGTGTTTGTTAAATGATATGGCTGAAGTGGATACTGAGGCCACGAATGAGCTTTTTCAGTTTTGCTCATATATTTGTTATGCAAATACTGAGGCCAGTTTTAAGGGCTGAGAAATTTCTTTTTTTTTTAACAAAATAAAGCCAAAGTTGTAGAAAATACAACCCAGAACTAACAGATAACCCAGATTTGTAGACACAAAAGATATAAAACCGTAAAGTAACTTTCAGCAATTTTAGGCCATATTTTAAAATTGTTTGTTGTGTTATAAAAGCAAAAAATGGCAGATGGCCACCAGTGGCTCTTGTGAAAGGAAAGATACTCTTGTGATTAATCTTAGGGAAGCCTGGTACCTTCCAGATAGTCTGACCCAGTAATCAGAATTCTAAACTTTCCTCCCTCTCTGTATCTGATGTATTTATCTTACCTTAATATAATTTTCTAGCTGTGTGCTAGAATGCTCATTCTGGTCTCTCTTGCACAAGACAGCTGCTCCTCTCTTGGTCAGAGATGGATCTTGGAAAAAATCTGTATACATGCACAAAATTCTCAAATGGATTAAAAAAAAAAAAAAGAAACCAGAGCTTTTGCTCCTGCTGTTTCCCAGAAATAAATATTGGGATTTTGTAACTCCCTTCTGGTTCTGATGCATTCTACTCTAAAATGATTGATCCTAGATGGGGTTTGTTTTATAAACCCCAGCAAGACAACACATCAATGTCTCACCTGAGAGACAGAAATACCTCAGCTTCACAGATTTTCTGTGTTTTGTCAGTTTATACCGTGGTCTCTATTTTTCATTTGCATTTCACTGAAACTATTTAAGTTTTGTCATCACCCCTAATAATTGTTTTATTCTTTCTGAATGATTCCAGCAGGATTCACAGCTGCAATCTAACATCTTTAGGCTCCCTGCTCAGCAATTAGAGATGTTTAATAATAACTGGCTGATCTAGCCAAGAGAAAACACCAAAGCAGAAGATGCATTTAGGATTCGCCTTAGGCATAGTGCAGGCACTTAAATACAATTCCATTCACAACTGTGAGCCTTGTCCTGCAGTTAAACTGCCCAGCATGGCCTGTTCTCCACCTCAAAACCCCCCACAAACAGCAAACTGAGGATGTAGCAGGTTTCCTTCTTGGCAAATGATCAGGTCAGGTAATACTCACAGAAGTATATTCTAGACAATCTATCTTCAAAGTCCTTCCTCTACCAGATGGGCAGCAGAGCTCTGAATGCACAGTAGTCCTTTTGCAGCACCAATGGAAACCATTTCTCTCTGTAGTCCAGATGAGGTAGAGGTAAAAAAAACTGGTGTTGAGTGCATAAAATGTGGATTAGACAGTACCCAACAGATAAGATATTTTTTCCCATTCCTGTTGCAGTTTGGAAATAGCACAGATACCAGACAATTGACCACAAAGACACAGGTAATTCTGTTTCTGGATGGCAGCAGAGCTCTGGGGAACATAGAAATTTTCTTCAATTCCAGAATAAGATGGAACCTAATGGATCCAGATTTTGAGAAGCAGTATTTTAAATTACTAGGTGCCCAAGTTCTTGGGAATGTTACCAGAACAAAATCTCAAGAGATCCAGTTTCTAGGCAACTCTGCAACATTCGTAAGGGCTGGTTTTTCTGCTGCATCACTGCATATACATACAGCTCTAACACATGAACTTGATAAGTCTCTGGAGATTTGTACTGTTTCTTCCACCTAACACAGTGTATATTATAAGAAAATTAAAGGATTGAAAACATTAAATAGGGAGATCAGTAAAGCTCCATCAACTTATCTCTATTCATTTATGAATGTGTGGCATGAGCAAAACATGGCTTATGATCTAGGAAAACCTTATCAATTCTTATCTTTTGGTAAAACTTTTGAAGAAAGATACATTTGATAACAGTTGTTCTCCCATGAGTCAGATCATACTTACACAATGGAATCTGATAAGAAATCTAAAACATAATCCAATGTGAGAGATTACTTAGTCATTAGATTTACTTTCCTTAGTTATGCAGCAGAGAATGAGGGAAAACAAAGATACTCGACAAGGAAGAAAGAAAGTAAATATTTTTTCTGCAACCTAGCATCCCTGTAGAATAGCTGGAATGGGAATTCTGAAATATGCAGGTAAACCTGTGTGGTAATGGCTGAAGGCCTTTAGCTGGGGAACACCCAAAAAACTCAGCCAGGGAATTTTAATGGTTTCAGAGAACCCCAGGTGCTGCATGCCTCCTTCCAGCATTAGGAAGAACCATAAGAATATTAAATATGAAATGCCGCCAGTGGATTAAACCCAAACCCTGCTCAACTCTCAGCAAAGGAGAACTTGGGGGGAAAATGGAGTCTGATTTATCAAGATGTCATATGGCCAAAAAGAAAGTTGCTTCTTTCTATAGAAAGTTGCTTCTTTCTATAACAGCTCTGCACGCTACCCTCAAAAAACTTATTGCAAAGGAAGTTTCAGTACCAGAACTAATTTTATACAGCTTTCAAGCCTCTCATTTTCAGAACACAAGGTAAACTCTTCATTTTGCTATTTTGAAGTGAACTGATCACTAACTGATTATGATAACTTAGCATATCCTGATCTGTGTAAAGCTTTCACATAAAATAGTGATGCACAGCCTTGCTAGTTTATATTAGCAATTTGTGAGACAATAATTTAAAGTGTGTCACTGCGCTGCAAGTTCCTGATATTGACTCTCTGAGCGAGTCCTGGTACAGCATCTGTGTGGTCAATTCTCCACGTTTACCTCCTTCAAAACAATAGTCATTTTCATATTTGTATTCTAGTATTTCCACTGTAATTTATTTGCTGAGCTTTAAATCATACAGAGTTAAGTGTCTATAGTTAGCTTTAAGGGGGCTCATTGGCATCAGCTCAAGACTTCATCAGAAATACAGGGCACTAAGCATATGTCACCTCTTATGTCATGAAACAACCCAGTAGGTGAAGTGTTACCTCCTCCCCTCCTGCAATTCAATTTTATTGACACAAAACCAAACAAAAATATGGGAAGTTCAACAGTCCCCGCCTTTGGAAAATAAGAAGCACTGATAAAATAGTTTGTATGCTAATTCACAGTGCACTGATGCAGAAATGGGAGCAAAAAAATGTAGACAGTGAGGCACTTAACCACACTGCTAATACTGAAAGAAACTCTGCTCTGTGTGCCCTAGACCTTAACTTGAGGTAAACACATTATAGGAAGAATGTAATTGCTGATGAGACCTGTTTATATTTATGAAAAATCATGGCATCAGAGAAATGCTGTTATTTTGGGGAAACACTGTTATTTTGGGGAGTGGATTCCAGGGAGATTTCTATGTTTAAGTGTACACGGGTAGATGTAGAAGAAGAAGGAATACTGAATATAGATGATGAGTTTCCAAGCGCAGATGGGGAGCAGAGCATGGAGCGCTGGATTTTAAAGAGCTGGCTTCACCAGACTGAACTGAACCTTAACCCTAACCCAAATACCTTTCCATCTATCTATTTTCTATTCTAGGAAAAACAATTCAAACTTTGCTATCAAGAAAAGAGGTGACCAGATTTCAATTTCTTTTTTTTAAAGTCATGGTTCTCTCCTGCCAAAGAACTTTCAAGTTAAACCTATGTTAACAGAAGTACCTGGCCTTTGCTTTCAGATTACATTAGATTCCTTCTCTCTCATATACTTCAAATAATTGATTTAAACTACAGATATCAAAGTGGTCTCTTGGGTTTTGTGAAAATGGTAGGCAAGTTGCTAGATTAAAGTAATTTTGACTGAACTATTGTTTCTATGCCTTGAATTAAAAAAGGAGAAAATCAACCTGAGCACATTAAAACAAAGGCATCAAGCAGCTCTTACTTTGACAATAACAGATTTTTAGACACAGCCTTCTTCCTTCCTTTGTGCAGGCCAAGTGCTCTTTCCTTCCCATATTCTTTATCTAGGTTTAGTAAAAGTTTGGACCACACTCTAATCAGCTTCAGTCTTGTCTTTTCATAAACAGACAGAAACATTTCACTCTAAATTCACAACCTAGTAATGTTTTCAAGTCTGTTTCTTACCTGTTTCAGAGCTAGCTAAACTAAAGTTTAGAGAGATGTTATTCCTAGGATCACTGAGGAATCCTGTTATTTTCCCCTCAGATCATCAATTCACCTTTTTATCCTGTCGGACACATCACCAACTCTAATTCCTCCTTCCATCTCCTGCAGCAAGCAGCCCCCTTACAGGAATACTGCATAACAGCATGGGGCATGACTCCTAATCTTTGTTCAACAGCACAAGGAAATTACTCACTGCAATGTCACTTAGGTGTGTCACAGAGGAGTAAACATTGCCCTCTTTTACTGGGAACAGTGCAAGGAGTAATGCTGGAGGTGTCCTGCCACTTTGTGTTCCCATAGAGATGGGAACACCACTTACCTCCCATCAAAAGGGGTAATAGGAAGCAATTTATGCTTGAACAGCCACTGGCCAGCATTGCCTTGGAAACGTGTGCTTGCAATTCATATCTTGCCCTTATGAATAGCCACCTGGCTCTTGTTGTCAATTTAAAATAATCTATCCTGCTGATGGGAAAAAAATTCTGCCAAGCTCTTATTATGTTGTTATTGCTGGGAAATGGCTGTGTAATGTCTCACTGATAAGTGTTAGAACATATGTATCCAAAAGCATTGTCAAAGTTTTATTTGCAATAGAAATTCAAAGTCCTTGGGAGAAACTTGTGGTTGAAAACACATGGCAGAAAATACAGAGTAGCAAAGGAAAATAATAAACTCACCAAGATGCTGTTAAGGTCTGATGATCACAGTGAAATGAAGCTGCGTTGTATTTTACTGAAGGGACACAACCATTAATGAATTCTCAGCAAGCATCACCTATTGCGGTTTTTATTGCTATTATGAGCTGAAAATTAAGATAACAGTTATTACAGAATTCCATTTCCCACAGATTTTTCCAGGACAGTGAACACAAAGTTGAAAGAAAGCAACCTTTGATTGATACATCTCAGCTGATTTGAAGCTAGTTAAGGTGCAGTTTTTGCAGAGGCTTTGGTGCAGAAATATTCTTGGAAGGTTCCTGCAAGGGTAAACGAGAAAAGCTCTATTTAAAGCCCCTAGAAGTTCAGCTAATAGATAAAAACAAGGAACAGATGAAGACTCAAAGAAGTAGAAATAAAACAAACGGGAATGAACAGAATTCTACACCCTCAGATTCTCTCTCAAGAGAGGGGAAGATCTTGAATGTTGCTTGAGGCCAAAATGATTCAAAGTGAAAACGTTTAGTAGGTTATTAAAACACAGCAGACTTAACTTGAATGACAAATCAAAGAGAATATTTAATAACTCTGAGAAATGTAATAACCAGAATGTCAACTACTTAACTAATAAAATATCATTTTGTTATTCCATGGGGGTCACCCCTTACAGCCTTTAAGCGGCTTTATATGTAGTTTTGAAGATTAAACATTTTTTTTGTTAGTAAGACAAAAGAAACTCGATACAATTATTAAAAATAATTTCAGCTACCTATTCTAGTATAAAATATACCTTTTATGGTATAATGAAAGTATTATATTTATTTATAAATTCGTTTTGGCACTCTTACTTGGATTTGAGGACTCATTCTAGGCAGACAGGAACATGCTTGTTTCCCAGGAGTGGGAATCTACACAAGAGCTCCTCAAACATTCTCATTTTTCAAGTAGTCTCATTGTTTGTCTGCCTTACCAGAACACCTCAGGGACCCAAGCTAGAAACCAGGTTTTCCCCAGCCCTGTGCACAGCCCAGCCTGCTGGGTACAGCAGAGTGCCTCTTGCACAGGGTCAGCCATTGCCATTGCTCCTGTGGGCAGTCCCCTGAAACTGGAGTGATTTTAAGTATTAACTTATAAAATTTAGTTTTCAGAACCTTGAGAACTGTGCTCCTGCTTTGGTACCAGTGTCACCATGCTAGTAGTACATTGCATTTCTCTAGAATCTATTTTCCTACACAAATGGGGCCCAACTGTTTAATAATTGCCATCTTTTATGGGTTTTTTACCTTTCCTGAGGAACATACTTTGTTATTGTTACAGAGATAAATAATGTAAACTATAATATTTTCAACAACTCACAGTTTGCCAGAATAAAGACCAAATTCAGAACTATTTTGAGAATATTTGACAAAAATAAACATTAGGACTGCATCATTCAAAACCACTGGAGAGCTCCCAGTAACTTGAGACAAAGAGTAATACACAATTTTTAGTGAAGTGATATACATAATAATATGTATCTCTTAAATCTAATATACTTAAGTATATCTGATATATACTTAAGCACTGCAGATACATTTGAACTATTTCTTAAATAACTTTTTTAACTGCTAATATATGAGAAACTGAAAACTTTTCTTGTCATCCAGTCCTGCCATATTGTTGCCAACACTTAATCCCCACTTATTAAAAATGCAGGTTTTGCTTTAAGATAGTATTTAAAACATGGTATTATAAAGAAACAGGAATAGAAATATTTTCACTTTGCTTTGGAAAAGTGTAGAACTTTTCAATTGAAAGGCTTTTAACTTCTTTTCACCATTAGTCTTGAAATGTACTTCACTCATGAAAATGACAGATGAGATGCTCCAGAGGGAGGCAATTGCAGCTTGAAGCTAAAGACCATGTAGTAGAAAATAACAGCCCATAGAGAACACTCAGAGGCTTCAAGATAACATTTGCTCCACTAGTTTTTGATGCATAAATAAAAGATCTACTTAACAGGCTTAGAAAGTCCCATAAATACACCCCTTTTCCATTTTAGCTGCAGCTCTAGAATAAAAAGGTAAAAGGATTTAGATAGTGCATCATTTCCTCCTGTCTTTAGTTTCTGTGAATATGTATGGTTGTTTAGGCAGGATGGAGAGGGTATAAGGGGATAGAAAAGTTAATAGCTTGTGATTTGTAGGCAATGTAGTGCTGGTCAAGCCACTTCTGCATGGGACAACGTCCCAGGGGTGTCATTGGACACATAAAGTGCAAGACAGGAGATAAACAAGAGAGTAACTAATGCAGACAATATGATTCTGCTGAAGGAGTTTCAGGATTTCCAGCTAAATCTGGTGAAACTCTGTGTCTGTCCATCTCAGCTAAAGAAACTTGCATGGTTTAACTTCTCTTACATCAAAAGAAAACTTTGAATTATAAATGTGCTTGATATAATTGTTGGGGCAGGATGGAAATTTGCACAGAACTTTTTTTCCTACACAGCTGAAGCACAAGGGAAAGGTGGCCAAGTGTTGCGGCACAGCTGTGCAGGTGGGAAGAAAGGGAAAAGATTCTGTTCAGGATCCTCCCAGATAAGCCCAGAAAGCCTGATGAGGAAAGGAAACAGTGAAGTTCAGGCTGCTGCACTGCTGAGCAGGTGCAGGTGTGTTTGCATGAAGCCCAACACAGCAATCTCAGGCTCTGAAATCAGACACCTAAACATGGGTCGACTGCTGCTCTCGCATTCTGTGTATTTAGTCCAGCTGCTTGAAAATTTATCTGAATTTAAACACCCTGGAAGAGGATGCCAGCCAGTTGCACACAGTAGAATCTTCCTCCCACTGCAAATATGCCAGAAGTTTCTTTGCAGGATGAGCACGCAAGCCCAGCTCAGAGGGACAGACTGTGCCACCAGCTGAAGTCATAAACAAAGCAGAGCTCACAGAAAGCCAGGAAAAAGCTCTTACAAGTGTCTGCCCTGAAGCACTGATCTAAACAGCTCAACTGATGTCCGGATCTTCACTGGGGTCACAGGCCATAAAAAGAGATTTTAACTGCAGGTGCCTCAGGACAAAGTCATTTGTGCTAGAGAGAGCACAGAGTATCCAGTCATGCTGCTGGTGGTGAGAGGTTTAGCAGAGCTTTAAAGAGACACAAGGCTGTGCCTAGGTTTCCAGGCCATCTTGCATTATTTATTCCCCTGAGCATTTTTGGCCAAACTGCAACCCAGGAATCATTTTTCACTCCTTAGCTCTCCAGGTACTAAGAACAGAGCAGAGCAATTCGGCAGTGCTCAAGTCACAGGCCCTGCATAAAGCTTCTCCTCTGCATGTTTAAACTGAAGAGTTTGATGCCTTCACAACAGGAAACCAGCCACAGCAAAGAACACACCTCTCCTCTGCTCTACCTTGCATTAGCCACCTGGTCCCCCATATTTATAAGTAAAAAGTAAAGCAGTAAGTATGAGCTGCTACTGATTGAATGGCTTCCTGTTTGCACCTTGTAGCTTCCACTAAAAATTGCCACTTGAAAACTAAAGAGAATGAAAAGAGCCTTTCAATGATTGTGTTTTTTCACATGTGACAGGATAGCTCCTCTTGAGTATGTACTTAACCTGAAATTGTGTTTTAGAAAGATAAACCCAGCAGCTGATTAACAAATGCTCCTTTCATCCTGAATTACTCGTAAGCTCTGTGGAGGTCATATTAGCACTATATGAGTTGGTTCTAATCAGGGATATAACAGCAAATACAGATTAGTTTATAATTAATGCAAAATTACGTGGTCATCAGGAATGCTGATTTAAGCCTTCTGGAAGACAATAGACCACAATTTAAAACTCTTTCTTTTTAGCACCTACTGAAGAAAGTTGTTCCTTAAGGAAGAAAAAGGTGTCCCTGATGCAAATGATGAAAAAGGTCAGAACTTAGGGCACATCTGATAACACCTTGCTGAATTTTAAAGTTTCAAGTAATATGACTTAGTAAAGAGCTCATTTTCTATTTCTAGGTGTGGCTCCTGCCCTGTGGACTTTTGTCCAGCTGAGATCAGCCTGCTCCTGCATGATGGCCTTGCAGGCTGTCAGGTTGCAGCATCACTGTTCTGCTCCTCTGGGCACAGCCTCAGGACAGGAAAGTTGAGCAGGTAAGCCCAGACTGACAGAGCCACACTTGCACAGCTGCTTTTCCAGCAGAGCTGGATTTTCACCACTGTAATAAAGAGCAGTTTGGTTTTCTCAAAAGAAAGGGAAGCTGGCAGCTTCCCTTCTGCCCAGGAGGTGTTAGAGTTGGGGGAGCATTTCCCTTGAGATGGTTACACCAGGGTGAGCCTATAGGACAGGAAATGCTGGAAATGAGAAGTGACACCAGAAGGAACCTAAAAGCTCAAGGACTGGGAGTTTATTCCAAGAAAAGCAGCTCAGATGTTCTATAGACCAAATCCTTGCTGGGGCCAAATATGCCTTTCCTGTACACAGCCTGGTTTAAAAGTTAATTATCTGATAACTCTGGGCCATAGGAAACTGAGCATGCAATAGGAAATGCTTTCCCATTCTGCTTTTGGGAACTTCCAGTGTGTTTGACATAAGAAAACTTTTGCACTTACCTGCAAACCAGTTTGTGGTTTGTACAGATGCCATTTGAATGAAGCACAGTCCTCTCTGAAAATAAACATTAACTTAAGGTTACAAGAAGCTTCATAAGTTTCTCAACTCTAATGGAGATTTGCTGGGAAAAATAATGTAAAAATCAGTCTAAATCACACTTAAGAGGTGAACTCTTGAGAACGTGGCTGATAGGGCAGCAGGAATAATATTTCTAAAAAAGCCCCCACAAAAACGGTGGAGAGAAAGCAACCATTCATATCTACAAAATACTACTCCATTTTTTTGAGGGTTTTTTTTGTTTGTTTGTTTTTTTTTTCCAAATCAGTGGTTTAGTCATTGCAACCTACTGGCTGATGCACTGGGAGAAAAATCGATCACTACTCTTAGTCCAGCTCCAGATGAAATGGTCTCAAAACATTTCACAGTGGTTTTTGTGTCTCAAAACAGACTCACCTAATCATTCCAAATGAATGCATTGGAGACTGAACAATTTCTGATCCCTAAACCCAAATACATCTTTTAAATATTGCACCATTTCCCATGTTTTTAGGTAATAAATATTGATTAAAAATTCCCAGGCAAAATTTTAAGCATTCTGTTTTTCATAGCTGCAGGACACAATTAATGCAGAAAAGGAATGCAGTTCACTTAAGAACTGCAAAGATACTTTGCCAGTAATGACAAGGAAGGCATGAAGCAGATCAGCAGATAAATCATACCCTGGAAAATTCATATCCTTTACCAATTTCAGTAATTGCTTCTTTGCTGTACCTATATAACCTAGTGCAGAGAAAATAAATGTCATTACTTATAAAGGTAGACAGGGAATTAGGCAATGAAAATAACAGCTATAAAATAGATGAGCTGGGCATCAATGGCTCCTCTGTACAGACATATTTCTAGGTTCCCATGGGTCCATAACTTGCCAGTGTAGCCATAATCCTTCTCTCCTTAGAGGCACTTAGCTTAGTCCTAAACCAAGTGGAAGACAAATTGAAAATCTGCTCCTCCATGGTTAAACACTTTCGGCCTTCAATGGAAACATTTTTCTTAATTGTCAAACTTGTAGTACTGGGCTTTGTTGTCATGATATCCACCCAGTCCTAGTGAATACAGTCCATAATTTTGTAATTCACCTGAGGTGAAAGAAGCTCCCATCAAGAAAATCATAAAAGCTTATAGGATCACTTCTCTCACATTAAGGACATATCAAACAAGCAGGGCCTTTTGCTTTTTTTTCTGCATGAGCTAAATTCCACTTTGAGAACATTTCAGTAGCAGGCTTTTGGATTTAACTTAAGACAAAAAAATATTTCTGCTTTCCACTGCATCTAAATCTTGATTTATAGTTCCTGTACCTCAGCTGATGCCTATAGATTGCCAGAACACATCATTTTATTCTCTTCTCATGATTTTGTACTGCACACAAAGCACCTTGCCTGGCTGGTTTACTGTTTTATTCCTCCTTGTAGTTACAGCACAATTCATTTTCCAATCACATGGGAAGAGCTGCATGAAAATAGCTGAAACTTCAAAAAAGAAATTATTTCCATGTCAGTAGCTGCTGCAGTGGACTTCTGTAGTCAGAGGATAAATACCACTCTAGGCTCTAAGTGATCCTTATCAGTCAATTTTAGAACCAGAATAAAAGTGCCCCAGGAGCAAAGGCATCACTAAATACTGAGGAAACATAGGGCTGTATGCACTGTCCATTATTTACTTCATAAAAGAATGTATCAGAAGCTGCATTTAGAGAGCAATCTCTCCAAGTTTACAGCTCAGCTCCAAGATGAAATAGAGACAAATTTTTCATTTGTTTCAAGATTATTAGCAAGTGCTTCTCTCACGCTGTATTTATGAGGAACTCAGGCAGAAAGAACCACCAGCCTGCTGAGCATGCCATAACTTATTACCCTTGAACCACACATTTAACACATAATGATTGAAAATATGAAATCTGTATTTTACTAGGAGATTCAAAACTGAATCTCCAAGAGAGAACAATTATAAATACACCCTTTATCTTGGTATTCCAGGCCCCTTTTAGAGGTACAGCACAAGCACATCCATCATTTTACCAGGCCAAAAATTATACTTATCTTTACCTTACCTTTTTTGTGTCTATTTAATTCAGCCTCCAAAATCTGTGCTTCTGTTTCCAAAGCAGTTACTTGTCTCTGCAAGTCATCAGTTACTATAAGTGGGACTCAAGGCTGTTATTAAATAATTTATACCAAAATGACTGCACAACACCTGTCTCCAAGATGCTCAGCTCTCCTGTAATCTGATGCCACGTGAAAGAGATATTTGGTTTCCAGAGCAGAAATCACAGGCCACACTGCAGATTTGTTTAGGGAATTTATCCAACTGGGAGTGCCTTATCCCTGACCAAAGTGAACACTTGGATAAGCTTTGAATTCTCAGGGCTGCCAAAGTCATCTTCTGTTCAGAGGGAAAAGCCCAGTTCTCACAGGCAAAACACACATGTAAACATTGTAAAATTAATTAAAGTTGGAGCAAAAACTCAAGAACAGGCAAAGAATGAGAGAAGAAAAAATGCTGCTTTTAACATGAGATAGAGGGCTTGGTATTTCACCCACAGAAAACAACAAGCTGGTGACTCATTCCAGACAATTTCTCCCTCCAGTTCTGTTGGGCAGCTCATCTCCTATGTAACAGATGGTTTCTTTTTCTGCTCCTCACACTTCTGGAACTCACACCTTTCCTGAAATGGTGCTGTAGGAATACCAGACGCTAACACAAATATTTTTTGGAGAATATAGTAAAAGTTTGAAAACCAGACTATAGAAACATGAGAAATTTATTTCTTACCTCCATATTCTACCTTTATTCCACTCTCTCCTTGTAGTTCTAAAGTTCCTTTTATTCCTGAATGTCTCATTTTTCCAGGGAAACTCTATAGGTCTCTCAATTCTTCTCCTAGAATTTAACTTAAAATAAAAAATGATTCAAATGTTTCCTAAATTTTTCTCCCACTATGTTTCCTTAGTGTTTTAAGAGAGCATCTAACACCAACTCCTTCCCCCTTGGTGTTCCACCTGCCCACTCCCAGGAAAATAAAAACATCTCAGGAAAATTGAATTATTCCCATGGAAATCTTCATTTCCTAGGAAATGCATTACTTTGATGAAAAAGCCTTTACTATCCCTACATATGGCACTGAAAATCCATGAAATAAATGCCCTCATGTTGTTCCATCCTCTTAAACAAGAAAGCCAATCTTGTTCAGCTGTAATCCAATCCCACATCACAGGGTATGATCTAGAAAATGAGCTAAATCACAGCATTATTAAGGATTCCTCTCTGGAGTAGTTTGTTGAAAGATACTGCTGAAGAAATTTGCTTATTTCAACCATGGAATTGCAGAGGCACACAGAGGGGTAGTGGACCAGAAGATGTCTATACAGAATCTCAGTGCATGCCACTGGAATTTTGTGTCACAGTTCATATGAAGTGGTGATGTTGAGAATTTCCTTTGTGGATGGAAGGCAAGCACCTCATTCCAAGGTGGGTGGGTTACACATGATAACACAGATGTGATATAGTAAGAAAATATACAATTTCATGTATACTTATTAAGAGTTTGGGCAGAAGCTGTTTTGGTCACTTGGCAGAGAGTGTGACTGGGTTCAGCCACATGACAGAAAGCATTTTGGAGCCATTTGCTGCTCGCAGCAGCACATGAAAAAAATTACCTGACAAATCACACCTTGGGGGAATTCTGCTTTTGATGAAGCAATCAAGTAATGACCATCAGATTAGGAGGCAAATCTAGCAAGCATGATTTCTGGTTTTGACAGCTAGCCCCTGGAAAGAAGGAGCAGTAATAATTTAGTAGGAGATAATAGGAACTGATTCAGAGTACAAATGGTACGATCAGATTAAAATCTCATTACATCTCTATTTTATTGGTTGCAGTGAAAATGTACAACATTATTTTTTTATTTATTAAAAGCCAAGTATCTAGAGTAGTATTATAAATGCAGAAAGCATGTTCAGCTTCCTGACATTGTGCAGAGCCTACAAAAGGCTAGTGGGGCAGAAGAAAATGAGAGAAGTAAAGAGATAAAATGAAAGATTGAAGGAGGCATGAAACAGGAGTAAAGGGATGATAGGGAGTGTCAAAATTACAGTATTGCTACATGGTCATGGCTCTGTACCTGCTCACCCTTTGCATCTTTGGGACCATCTCTAGCTGGTAAGACACTGGCTGCAGGAGCACTGCACTGAACTTCTGGGCAGGAGTAAATTGTCTTTGCAGGTTCTTCTGTGCTAACTGAACTTCTTACTCCTAGCAGGGAAAGCCAAGGCATTGAAAGGATGAAAAAGAATCATTGCTAAGTCCACAGATCCATGACAAATCAGTAATTTAATAAATTTCTCCATTTGCATAATTTTGAGGTGTTACCAGGGAAACACACTCCTGTCTTCAGGCAAAAGGGATAGTGTCTGAATCATAGCATTTAGCCCCTGATGGTATCTGTGCACATTGAAAAGAAACCACCAAACTTATAACAGTGTGAAAGTCTTGAGGTCTAATGAAAATACCTAATATCACAACAGTCATGAATCTCACTGTGCTACAAATGAATTTCAGTGTTTTGTTCATTATATGTTGAAATGTACAGCCTTTATCTTCATGCCAAATGAATCACACAATATTCCAGTTCAGGATGAATCCTCAGCAGCTCATTGTGTTTCTGCAGGGACTCCACACCTATCAGGAAATGCCTAAGCTCAAAGTGATTAAGCGCTTCTCTTATCAGAATCTCCACTAATTGCATACACCCACACCTTAAAGGACAAAAAGCTCAAGTATCTTTGAGCACCAATGATCTGAATGCCTCCCCTATTTCTCCTTTGTATATTAAAAAACCACATTTTTCCTCAGCATTACATCTCAGATCTGAGCTCCTTTTGGATTCCAAAAGATCTGCAATCCTTTGCTGCCCTCTCTGAGCAGAACAGCAGTAACAGATAGAAACATCATAAGGTAAAAGCTCTGACAGGCTGCACCACAGTGATTGCCCTTGTTTGCAATAAGTGTCAAATGTGAGGCAATCACACCCCATGTATTCTCTTTAATTGAAACACCCCCCAAATTAAACTACCACAGACTTGTGACAAACTTATAGTACATAAGCTACATATTAAAGGCAAGTGGCCTTAATTTCTCTTAATTTTCCCAGTTCTACCAGTCAAAAAGAGAGAAGCCTCAGGAAACACCATTTGGTCGACAGATTTGGGTAAAAAGAGAAAAATCTAATCCAGGATGAATTCTGCTATTCACCTCAATTATTTCTCTTTATTTTAATCTTCAGAAAAGATTTCCCACAGAGAGCAGCTTCCCCTGTCAGGTTTCATCTGATAAAGTACCACATAGAGTATAATCATTAGACTATTACCGTAGGAACATTATAATTAGGATAAAAAGCAGAGGTTAAGAAGCACCATTTTTCTATGTTCTTTGTGCTTCCTCCATTAGGATCCCATCAAAGTTTAGAACAATGGCACATATTAAAATAAAAGAAGGAAGGTATTTAGCTAACTAGTATAACAAACTTGAATCCTCGTTTATATTTCTTATCCAATTCCATGGACTCCAGACAGTTCTTAATACCCTGTAAGGATTTTCTTCTGCTGATTTTCTGTAGTGTGTTAATTACACAATACTAGGGAAGTTGGCATTGCTGGTGTCACCCTTGAAGGTAACAAGACAAAGCTCAAAATAAAACTTGAAAACAAAATGTAAGCCTTCAGATAAGTTCACTCCCTACAGGGATTCAACCTCACACAAATCTCTGTTGGTTTTGCCAGCCAGGAGCTAAAATCTATTTACATCCATAGTTTTCCAGGGTGCTCCAATCCTTTATTCTAGAAGAGTCCAAGTGCCTGTTTAGACTTTGACAAAATAGTGGCAGGTTTTCCTAGAATTGCACCACTTTCCAAGGCAACTGATGACAATTAGCACCAATAACAGCTTAGATAAAAAAAAGCAAAATGCACCAATTTTCTCATAAAAATTGAATAAATCTTACGGAACTGGAAAGAAAAAAAAACAAACCTCAAAACAGGTTTTGCAATCCACACTTCTAGAAGCATAGACAATTCCACGTGGAGAATCACATTGTGTGGATTTAATGGCAGTCTTCAGGTCCCAAAGCTTACACAGCTTGAGATTTCTCAGCAGAGATCAGAATTAGGCTTTGAAAGATGCTCTGAAACTTATATTTAGGAGGTAGCTAGTTTGCAAAGTCCTTTTTGAAGGCAGATGCCTCAGGTAATTAATTTTTCCTCCTTAGAATATGCTTTAAGCCATGATTGACCCAATGCAGGTAATGGCAGAGAGGGGAACCTGGTGAGGCAGCAGGTGGTCAAGACCACCAGATGTGGCCTTGGAGGTGACAACTCTTGGGTCATCAGCCCAAAAGCCCAAAACCTGGCAGCAGAGGACAGCCCTGTTGAATTAAAGTCCTAGGAAACCTGTATTTACACACAGACTACTCAGGGGCAGAATGCTCTTAGTGAGGTTCCACCCTCCTGACAGCCCTCCTTGTGAGCCCACAAAAGTCCCTCCAAACCACCATGTCTGCATCAACCTGCAAAGGCTGCAAGGCCCCAGCACAAACACTCATCCCAGCAAGGGAACTCTTCACTTCCCACACCTCTGCCACAGCAGTACACAGGGAAGCTTGGCTTGCCTGGCAGCCAGCACAACAGAGAGCTGGAGAAAGAAGTGAAACAGAAACCGGCTGGATTTTTAGCATAAGGACAAGGCTGCCAAAAGAAAAAGGTATATCCTCTGCATTTCTACCAAAAGCTGTTATTTTATGCTCTGTTTTGGCAAGGGGTTGCTCACTTATCTCTGCCTTGCACAATCCTGGTGATTGCCTACCTCAGTCTCCCACCCCTATTTACAGGGGCTGCATGTGGCATCCTGGGGGTGAGCCCTTTGCTCTTTGCCTGGCCTTGGGCTGTGGCACAGTGCAAATGAGCAACTCAGGAATCAGCACAACTGCAGGCACTGGGTTTTGACTGTAAGGTTTTTCCCCTTTTTTCAGTCAGTGGATCCAGTTTTCAGTGACCTAGGAGAGGGAGGGCTCTTTGAGACCTGCTTTACTGCAGTGACTGCCTCTCCTGCGACAGAGCTGGCACTGCCCAGCTGGCCAAGGTACCATTGTGTGGACACAGAAACCACATTGTGTGCTAGGTGGCTCTGTAGCATTAATAACATGAAATTTAATCCTGAGGAAGAGACATTTCAGCAATTTTGCTTGCAGAAAATTTTCTTACTAAGACTAAGGTCTGTTAGATGTTTCCAGCTGCAAAAGTTAAAGTTCTCAATCCCTGCAGCAGTGTCAGGAGGGGTTTTGTTCCCAGGATCCCATTCTGGAGCTATTATGTGGTGGCATCAGATAGAGAAGTTATAGGCTGTCAGTTAATGCCTTGTATCTTTCCTATTCAAGAGCTAGGATAAATTTAGTGTCTGTAAAAATATAATGAACAATCAGTTCAGAGCAGTGCTACTTGTCATACATGATTTGATAAAAACATTGTAGAGCCAACATCATTAAAAAGAGATTTGGAATTAGAGATCTGTCAGGTTGTTTTAAATAAGAAGCAGAAATTTCCAGGCTGGCCTTTGCTGTTTTGGCCAAGAAGTAGCCGTGGGATCTCTACGCTGTCAACAAGGGGCATTCACGGCTCAACTCGTAACCTTGTAACCCACAAAAATGTCTGGTTTGTTGTATAGCTGTTGAACTTCCCTGGAGGTTTCTTGCCTGCAAAAGCAGAAGTATGAAGCAGACAGGATTGTCAGCAATTTCCCCACCCCTAGGTTCTCACTAGGTCAAGACACTATCTTGCTTAAGCATAGTTCTTCCACGTAGCAGGAATTTCACTAAACTCTGCCAAACCCAGCATGTTTATATGAAGAACAGAATTTACACGACTATTGTGGATATCTACATTAAGCCACAAATAAAAAATAATAAGGGCAGGTGGCTTAGTATTCACAAACTATTAAATGTTTTTCTTAGCTGAGTTTGTAATTTCTTTATCTGCTTATCTCTAAATCTTTCTCCAGAATCACTTGGTTGTGGTTCCACATTTGCATAGAGAGCTCCTCACTGTTTGGATCCTTGAATGTACCTTCTTTCTGCAGACCATTATTTTGGGGGAGTGGTCTTATGTCTGTGCATTCTTGAATATCGAGTGAAACTCCGCAGATTTCCTTGGAGAAGGAAGCAGATCAGCACGGGAGAGCATTTGGCTTTTGAAGCTTCAAATTTTCCTTTGGAGCCATCACTTTTGAGTATTCTTCACCAGCAGCAATATCATATGGGAATAACAGAAGTGAGAACTATACCCAATTATTTTCATCACAACATAGCAGGGTGACAGCTCCCAGACACTTGCAAAAGAATAAATGGTTAAAGCACTGGGTAGGAATGCACAGCTACCTCACTGATTCTCTTTGATGTCAGACCATCCGAGTGCTTTTATTCTGAAACCAGGAGTTCACAGAGTGTTTCACACTTTTCATTGAGACAATTAGAGACAGGATTAAAGACTTTTGAAGAACAAAACTCTAGGAATAACCTTGCCTTAAAAAACCCTCAGAGCAGGCATCATGGAGTCCTAATAGGTGCTCATACAGTGAGCATAATTAGAGCTCTTAGAAATATATAAAATGGAAGCTGTCCCATGCAGAATTATTTTCTTGTGAATTAATAGTGATTTATCCCTTGTCTGTGTATCCTACCATGCATCCATGCTTCTGCACAATCAGAAGGATGGAGCAGAGCTGAAGTTCTTTATTTCTCTTGACTTGTCAGCCTGCCAAAGGGACTGTGCACATGAACAGTTGCTCTCTGTTTTGTTTTCTTTCCTGAAATAGTCAAGCCTCATTGGTGATATAATCTTCAAGTGTTGTGTGACTGCTTGGTATATTAAGAACAAGGTAAAAGCATCAACTTCTTGTGAGGGAGAAGGGAATTTCTACAGTAGGACACACTAGGAACAGTGGCACAGGAAAAACACAGCTTGCAAGGCTGAGCATAATCTTGACAGAGGCTGTTAAGAGAGTGAGACAGTTCTGAAGCAGACCAGACCAAAAAACCCAAACAACCTGCTTAATTCAGAGGAAGTTCCGTTTGACATTCAAAGTTGATAATTCCCAAAGGATCCCTCAGTTATTAAGAACACCTGTATTGAGCTTCTCCTCTTCTTCTGAAAATCTGCTGAGTTTCCTGTCATCTGAGGTTAAAGACATGTGAGCTTTAAAACATGAGATTCTGAATGAAGATAAATAACATCAAGATGCTGTTCTTACCATCCCAAGTCAGCTCTTCTACTTCAATTACATTATAAAAGTTTGACTATGAAGTCAAAAAAAGTTTGACTATAAAGTCAAAAAATTTCTCTTTTCAGCTTCATGAAGCTTTAAGGGATCTTACCTTACATATTTGGAATGCATCTGCAGATGGGACACCCATGACTCCATAATAGTTTTTATCCAGCCCCAGGCCACTTTGCACCCAGCTTTCTGTTTGACTCCTGCAAAGAATTCATAGTTTAGTGCAACTATAAAACTAAGCACAGTGTAAATCTGTGCATATTTATATCTTTATCCTTGAGAATAGCTATGGTTTTATCCCAGCATTAAAGGAATTAGGGAGCTAGAGAGACAGAATATTACAGGTTTTTGTCTGCTCCAGTACACCTGGATACAGAGGTAAATAACAGTGCTTCGTGGTTAAACCTGAGTTTACACCTTAATATGTACTCAACTGAATCAAACAAAAATATTTTGATGCTGATACACCTGAATGATGCTGAACTGTTCAGTATTATATGCTCTGAGCAAGTGGTTAAATGTTGCCATCAAACAGTAACAAAACAAAAACAAATGCCATCCATACAAAGCTCAGAACACATTACCTAATTGTTGGGCTAAAGGGGTCTATATACTCTACTGGGAAATTTCTGTCCTTCATTCAGCTTGGAGGAACAGGAATATTCCCGCTCTGTTCCTTTGCCTTTCTTTCATCTACTATAAATGAAATGTAAGAGGAAGGACATTTTTTCTGCTGAGACTCCTTCAAACACAGGCCATGAGAAGATGATCTTGATGCTTAAGGGCTCATAAAACACCATGGTAGATTTCCAGCTCTTCACTCTGGCTGCAATAGAAGATGCAGAATGGCAGCTTTTGCCAAAGCTGGATGAGCTGTTCCCATTTGACAACTGTTCTGTCAAATAAAGATTTCTCAAGGGTTTTCATCATTTTGCAGCAAAAGTTTATGAAGCTCAAGCCTACACTAGCATACAAGAGCTGACATTCACATACAGTTAAAGTATCAGAAGCTGTAAACACATTTTGCTTCTCAACTTAAG